TGCTGAGCCTGGGGGTGCTGAGTCTGGGGGTGCTACGTCTGGAGCTGCTGAGCCTAGGGGTGCTGCGTGTGGGGCTGCTGAGCCTGGCTGTGCGGAGCCTGCGGCCGGTGGACCTCCCCTTGTGGCGTCTGGCGGTGCTGGGCCCGGAGGTTCTCCGGGTGCTCCGTCTCGGCGGGAGCCCCTCTCTCCACAGGAGCTGCGCGAGTGGTTCGCTCGCCGCTGGAGGCGTACTGCTGGTGCTGGAGCTTCTTCGGCCGCTGAGGGTGCTGGTACCGCCGGTCCTGGAGCTGCTGGACCTTCGGGTCCTACTGGAGCTGGAGCTACTGAGGGTGTTGGTGCTGAGACTACTGCTGTCTGTCCTGGCGGTGGTCCTGCTGCTGGTGCGGCTGGAGGTCCTGCCGCTGGAGGTGCTGTTGGCGCTGGTGCTGCCACTGAGGGTTCTGGTGCTGTCCCTGCTGTGCCTGGAGTCCCCGCGCGGCCTCGGCCGTACTTCGTTCCGCTCCTACAGCAGGTTCTTGGTCTTCCTCCGTCTGTCGAGTGTCCGCAGTCTATCCAGTCGCCGTCACTGTTAGAGCCATCCCCCCCACTGCCTGCTCCCTCTCCTTACACTGGTCCTACTGGAGGTCTTGCTGAGCGTCGTGAGCCTGCGTCTTGTCCCGCGTCGCCTGTTCGTGCTGCTCGCGCTAGTGGTCGCAGTTCGCGTCAGCGTCCTCCTCCTGTCCCTGGCACGCACCGGATGTCTCTGCGCCCGTCCACTGCTCCTCTGCGTGCCCCTTTGCCTTCTCCTCCTGAGTCCTCTGTTACTGCGCTTTCCGACCCGGAGTCGGACTCTCTTTGTGCTGCCAGTCCTACTGTCACGCGTCTTCTTGCTACTGTTGTCACTGACCCCTCTTTTGAGTCCACTGCTGCGTCTGCTCTTGTTGCTGAGCTCGTCAACTTTGCTGCTCGCAGTCGTCTAGACTACGCTGCTAGTCTTGTTGCTGAGTCTGCGTCTGTCTGTCCTCCGTCCGTCGGGGGTGAGTGTGCTCTTGGCACGGACGTCCTTGAGGACAGGCAGGAGGAGTTCCAGTGTCTGGCTGCTGCTTCACCTCATCTCGCGTCTGTATTGCTTGCCCATGAGGGAGACCCGGATGCACTAGACATCCCGACTCCGTGTTCTTACGCTGAGGCCGTAGAGGGTCCCTACTCTTCTCAGTGGCAGGCAGCTATGGATGCAGAGATGGCTTCCTGGAAGTCCACACGCACCTACGTTGACGAGGTTCCCCCTCCTGGGGCGAACATCGTCAGTGGCATGTGGATCTTCAGGGTGAAGCGGCCGCCTGGCTCTCCACCTTTCTTCAAGGCGCGGTACGTTGCTCGTGGCTTCAGTCAGCGGCAGGGAGTTGACTACTTTCAGACCTTCTCTCCCACCCCGAAGATGACTACTCTTCGGGTGCTGCTGCACATAGCCGCCCATCGCGACTACGAGCTTCACTCTCTCGACTTCAGCACTACTTTCTTGCAGGTCAGCCTGCACGAGGAGATCTGGCTGCGCCGTCCGCCTGGCTTCACTGGGACTTTCCCTCCTGGCACCCAGTGGAGCCTCCGACGGCCAGTCTACGGTCTCTGCCAGGCACCGCGTGAGTGGCACGACACACTGAGGACTACGCTTGCGGCTCTTGGGTTTGCTCCCTCTACTGCTGACCCGTCGTTGTTTCTGCGCACCGACACTTCTCTGCCGCCGTTCTACATCCTCGTGTACGTCGACGACTTGGTCTTTGCCACTGCTGACACTGCTGGACTCGCCTACGTGAAGTCCGAGCTGCTGAAGAGACACACGTGCACAGCCCTGGGTGAACTGCGCAGCTACCTTGGCTTGCAGATCACTCGGGACAGAGCACGCCGCACCATTACCTTGACTCAGTCACACATGGTGCAGCAGGTCCTTCAGCGCTTCGGCTTCACGTACTCCTCGCCTCAGGCCACTCCTCTGGCTACTCGCCACTCGCTCTCAGCTCTGCCTTCGGATGAGTCTGTAGAGTCGAGTGGCCCGTACCCGGAGCTTGTTGGCTGCCTCATGTACCTGATGACCTGCACACGACCTGACCTTGCATACCCTCTTAGCATTCTTGCACGCTATGTTGCTCCTGGGAGACACCGACCAGAGCACATGGCTGCAGCGAAGAGGGTGTTGCGCTACTTGTGCAGTACGTCGGGCATGGGGCTAGTGCTTGGAGGGCGGAGTCCACTGGTCCTCACTGGTCACGCGGACGCTTCTTGGGCTGACGACCAGGCTACGCAGCGGTCGTCGCAGGGGTACACATTCAGTCTTGGTTCTGGCTCTGTCTCTTGGCGGGCTACTCGCTCGTCTTCTCTTCTCGGCTCCAGTTGTGAGGCTGAGATCTACGCCGGGGCCATGGCTGCACAGGAGCTTCGCTGGCTCACCTACCTGCTGACTGACCTTGGAGAGCCGCCTCGTTCTCCTCCAGTGCTGTACGTAGACAACAAGGCTATGCTGGCCTTGTGTCGAGAGCAGCGCTTGGAGCACAGAACGAAGCACATTGCTCTCCGTTACTTTTTTGCTCGTGAGCCGCAGCAGCGTGGTCAGTTGCGACTTGCGTACGTGGCCTCTGAGGCCAACACTGCTGATGTTTTCACCAAGGCACTTCCGCCTTGTGATCATCAGCGCTTCTGCACTCAGCTGGGACTTGTACCTGTCGTACCTCACTTGCTCTCCTCTTGACCTTGCTTGTACTCTTGCATATATATATACCTGCTCTTGCTTGTTTAGCCTTATATATATATGTCTCCTCTTGCATGTGAACTGGCCTTGTGGCCTTGACCTTGTGCTCGGACTGTGTGGTGACTTTGTGATCCACCTTGAGCTTTGCTTTGCTTTGCTTGACTGGTCTTGTGACCCCTTGTTCTCCCCCACTTTGCCTATGGGGGTGTGTCAGAACATTATAGCTTATGCTTTTGTGTAGGCTATAGTGGGGTATCCCATAGGGGGTACAACCCAATTAGGTTTGGTACTTGTACTCACTCATTTCATAGTTTATTCATTTCGTGTTCTTTCTTTTCACAGACACGTGGATTTCTTAATCCGATGGACTGACCGTACCAGTGAGGACGACACGTGGGTGCCATCCACCTCGTTCGACGCCTCGCCACTTGTTGGTGATTACTTGGCGCGCAAGCGTGTTTCGGACATTGATCGCCTTTCTTAAGGGGGGGGGTGGTGTAAGGAATTTTCCCTAATTCCTTATCGGGGTTGACTGCTTCACGTACAACCCGATTTTCGGAGTTCGCACGTTCGGCCGATTTCAACGCTGCCGAGGCTCCTCACGTCGCCTTCGGCATTTCCATCGCCAAACCTGCACCCAACCTCATCTCCCGAGGTTTCCTCCTAGCCAGGCTAGCCCTACATTAGTATGTGCATTCATTGTATTCTCAGTTCATTCAGTCACGGTGTCGTTATTCGTTTACCTGCGCACTCTCTTTTACAACTCATAACAAACTTTTTGTTTGCTACCTGGGTTGGAAAGCAACATGTTTCTTCAACTTTGAGATTCAGTTTGAAGCCCTCTACTGCTGTTTTTTTGACTTCTAAGTCAGGTCCTCACTACGACTAAGTCTAAGAGCACAACCCCGTGCCCTACACTGTAGTGCACTCCCATTGTGTAGTGACTCTCCGTATCATTTTGTAATGCAACTTAACTAGTGGAAATTCTTGCCGATTTCTTCCGCGAATGTGCAAGTGCTAAGGAACTAAGCAAAGCTACGATCACTCCTAGTGTTTGTGCCAACATTCTGTAATCTACTTCATGACTATTGTAGGGTGACTCTCGGCAATGCCAGCATGCCGCTCTTCATGTCCGCAACTTGCCTCATCACCTCGTTGAAGGCCACCTCGTCCATCCGCCTTAAGCTAAGTAATAGTGAAAGTGGTTATAACGTGCTACGAGGTGCCTTTTTCAGGTATGATTGCGAGACCAATGAATCGAACATGAACCGCGTTGTAATTTGAACATTTGCGACAAATCGTACCACCAGTCACAAGTGGAGTTGTTGGGTTCGAAAGTTACTTTTTGTCAAAATATGATTGCAGGTAGTCTGTAATTAATATGAATTCATTACTGTAGAGGTTGTTCATAGCGAGGACAACCCCGAGCACTTCGCGTCAGTTTCGAGGTTCGGCCTACACTTCGGACCGAACCACCGACGAGTCGCTCCGCACCAATCGCGACACTTCCAAACCATCCACGTCCCGAGGTCCTCGCCTAGCACGGTTTCGACCCTATAAATGCTTGCTTCTTTATCATTCTCGACATTCTGGATTCGACATCCTTTTTATAAAGTCTTCCACGCACTCTTCTTAGTACAACTCATAACACAGTCCCTGCCGTGCTGGACGCTTTTGTAACCGTTTCGCCTTCAACTCTGGTAGAAACTGTTTCTGCTACTGTGTAGTAGTGACTCGTTAGGAAGTTAGGAAGTTTCGCGCGAGGGATTACGTTGCCTGCTACATTATCTCACCACTCATGTTTGGAGTAGGCCAACCCTGCTATATACTAGTACATGACTGGAAGCTGCCACATAAGCCGACAAGAATCGCATTCCAGCCAATCAGCGGAACACGTTCCCTGCCGTGATGTTATCGCTCACCGCCAAAGCACTGCAACGCAGCGCATCATGGGGGGGAGCCTCTACCTTCGCCAACAACGGCTCACAAATGTTCCCCCCTCCGTTCTATGATAATGTTTCTGATTCCCCCTTGCCGCTACTAGTTGTACTAGTAGTAACAACACCGCCGACGTCCGTCCGCAATACTAGGGATCTAGGTTGCGCCGTCGCATTTTTGTCACCGCAGAACGCGTTACTACATCTGCAAAATTGTCTGACCCCACCTAGTAGTTGACTTGACTTCGTCCGCGGCGAGTTCGGCTTGCGGTTGAGAGCTGTGGCCGCGGCGCAGGTTTGAGTCAACTGGCAAAAAAAGGAACAGTCTTTCTCTCTCTGCGATGGACGGCGGCGCGAGCTTAGGGCCCGGCGCGCAGCTCTTCCTTCTCACCCTGCTGGCGTCTTCCGTGTCTCCCGTCCGCTGTGTTACCCTCGCCAACTCCCAAGGTTCATTTCACACGAAGGTCAGGGTTTAAAGTCAGGGCTATCCAGTTCGGCTACAGGTCGCTACTAGGGTTTGTAGGGTGATAGTACGGCCATACAACAAAAGACGCCACAGGCGCCGCGGCAGGACGCGATGACAAAAGTTCCAGAGCCATTGGGTCCTCAGTATCTTACGCATTGGCCAGTTCAACGGGAGTCCTGCTGGATAAGCATTTGCTGGAGCAAGTTGCTCGAGAGCGAGAGATTGCTGAAGTTTTTGAGTCGGATATAGAATCGACCATTGCTGGAATATTGTACTAGTAGTCATTCGCAGAGCGTCCTCAGCATTCCGCCCATGCTCCCTTGACCCGTTCTTGTGGCGCCCTTCCTCACCCTTCCCTCCCTTCCCCTCCCGCCCTCCTCCTCAGTCTCCCCTTCCCTTTCTCCCATCCCCCCTCCCCCCCCCCCCTCTCTCTTTCCTCTCCCTTCCTTCTCTTCCCTCCCCTCTCTCCCACACACGGAGCTGGACCGCGGTGGCCTTTCAGCTTCAAGCTATGCGACTCTTCAATCCTAGCTTACCGCCGTGCCACGTCCCAACACATCCCCTGCTCACGCCGTGAACCTTTCACGAGCCTAGTGGCTTTTGAGTCGACTCAACTCGCGAACTTCACAGCTTGCCACATCACCCACTCCCGTCCCACTTCCAATTAACCCCCCCTCCCACTCTGGCTGGGCCCAGCTCTTGTGGACTTGCACGAGGAGGGGTGGTCGATCCAATCACCCTCTCACCGCTCCCCTCGTCTACTCCTCCCTGCCACCTCCCTCCGTCTACGCCTCCCTCCACCTCCCTCCGTTTACCCCTCCCTCCACCTTCCTCCGTCTACCTCTCCCTCCCACCTCTGCCCCCAGCGCAAGCTCTTCTGAACTTGCAGAAGGAGGTGGGGCGCACTTTCAGCGGGTGGACGGTGGGCGGCAACTGTAGCGCTATTCAGCGGCTCACCTGTGACGTGCAGGGCATGGTGACTGCCATGTGAGTCTGTGGAGATTAACTCTACAACGGTAGTGAGCTAGACTACAGGGGTTGGCACGAACTACTAGAGGTGATCTTAGCTTTGCTTGGTTCCTTAGAGCTTGCACATTAACGGAAGAATTTGGCAAAAGTTTCCACTAGCAAAGTTGGAATTCCAGAATCATCAAAGAAGCAATGACAACAATGACTACATCAGGCACCTAGCAACCCTGCAGCTAGCCTGGTCGACCGCCAGCGCAGCTCGGTCGACCGCCTGCCAGCATTGCGTAGAGGAGCCGCGCCAGCATTGCACAAGGGCGACCTGCCAACAAAGCAGGTTGACGACGTGCCCCGTAGAACACAGCAGTGCGCGCGCTCACAGGTGTGCGCAGACGATTGGCCCGACTTGCCTCGTTGGGCATCCGTCGGCTGTTGTCTACGCCTGACGAGCCACATCGACTTCGGGATACCAGCCCGAAGTCGCCTGCGCCATCGCGATCTCGACGACGTTCGTGTGCCTCCGCAGAACTCGTCGAGCAGGTTACCCGGTCGACCTGGTCGACCCCTGGTGCTCTGGTCGACTCCCAGGTGCCTCCCGTCGACCACTGGGTCCCTCTGGTCGACCACCGGGCGCTCCTGGTCGACCACACCTCCCGTCAAGCTACCCCTTGGTCGACGGACCCCTTTCGTCGACCAGAACTGCTCCGTCGACCTCCCGGTCGAACTGCAGTTCGACGGGATGCTCCGTTGTCCTCCCGGTCGAGCTGCAGTTCGACGGGACGCTTCGTTGACCTCCCGGTCGAGCTGCAGTTCGACGGGATGCTCCCTAGACTTCCCTGTCGAACTGTAGGTCGACAAACTGCTTCGACGACCTCCCGGACGGCTCACCCATCGCCCAGGCCAGTCAGGTGCAGCTGTCGAGCATCCTGGTCGACAGCAACACCACAGCGGTCCGCTGCAGCTCGACGTAACCTGTCGAGCAGCTATCCCACTGTGAGCGGTCGGCTGCTACTCCCGTACATCCGACCAAGTTGTCGGCGTTGCCCAAGCGAGGGCGGGGCCAACACTCCATTCCCGTTAACAGAGTCAAGGCATGGTGACTGCCATGTGAGTCAAGGCGTGTGATGTGAGTCAAGGCATGGTGACCGGCATGTGAGTCAAGACATGAAAATGTCAAGGCATGGTGATTGCCTTGTGAGTCAAGGCATGTTAGTGTCATGGCATGGCAACCGGCATGTGGGTCAAGGCATGGTTACTGCCATGTGGGTCAAGGCATGGTAACCGAGCCAGCCTACCTACGGTCGTCCCTCTTTTGATGTGTTGCAATCCCCTTTCCTTCCCTCTCTCAGTTCCTCGGTATGGCCAACCGCTTCCTATCTCTCCTATTCACTCCCTACTATCTCTCTCTTCCGCTTCCTCTCCCTCCCTTCCTCCCGCCCACACCTTCCCCCACCCCATTGTGATCAGACTCCCCGTTTGTCTCGTTTTTTGCGTGTCTTTGTTCCTCCAACTTCCACAGAACAGAAGCTGTAACGTCTGTGCTGAATTTGCTGTGCCGCTCCGATAAGCTCTGAGCCAGCCTGAACAGAACCACCTAATTCATGCGTCACTCAGTAGCTTGACACCGGTCCTCTGGCAATTGCTGACTTTATCTCCTCTTCCCCATCCCCTGCTCTGTCATTCATCTGAGCATGAGCAACATATCGGGTCCATTCCCAATGTCAACCAGCGCTTTCAGCAGCCTCACAAAGCTGTTAGTGCATGGCATGGTAGTTTGCATCACCATACCAAGCTGGGTGTTGATCGATCGATCCATCCATCCATCCATGGGATTGTTGCCAGTTGATATTGCTGTTCGATGCATGCGAATGTTTGTCGATAACATAGCAAAGCAATGATGACGTGCTATGTATGCACAACGTAACAGGGCCAAGGTCTGCAGTTTGTTTGGTTGGTACATGACTCAACCCTAAGGATAATCAATCATGTGTACCCCATGGGCCCATGTTGTGTGCGCATTTGTGTGTGTGTGTGTGTGTGTGTGTGTGTGTGTGTGTTGTGTGTGTTTTTGTGTGTGTGTGTGTGTGTGTGTGTGTGTGTGTGTGTGTGTGTGTGTGTGTGTGTGTGTGTGTGTGTGCGTGCATGTGTGCGCACGCTTCCTGGATTTCTTTTGTATCCCGTCTGTTTCAGAGAGATCTACGACAACAACCTGGATGGTCCGATCCCAGCATCGATATCCAAGCTTCAGCACATGAAATGGCTGTGAGCGTTTGACTGCAAGGATGCCTGTTTTGCCGCATATTTGATAATTCCACCACCTCACAATATTGTCGCGTTACATGAGATGTGGTTGGATTCTCCTGCTTTCGATACTGATGCGACATAAGCATGAATCAAATTGAAGGTCTGTGCGAGTCCTTAGCAGAGATATCAACATCTCTTCTCTCTTCTTCCTAGTACCATGGTGTGCAAATACTTCCTGCCAGGGTTTTGAGTACTAACCCATTCACAGGGTCGATTCCATCTGCCATCTACAGCATGATAAGCCTCGAATACCTGTCAGTGAACATGCGCACTTGCAGTGCTAAAAATTCCGAACTGCCATTCAATGTGGTGCTGTGCCGATCTCACATGTTTCAGCCCACGACCTCATCAGCTGTTTTTCATAGCCTTCATAATATAATAATTTCTACTGTCTTGAACAGCTCGACCCTGTAGTGAACAGGAGTGTGAAAGATTTTGTTTTGATTTCTTAAAACCTGGTCTGCGATACGCTGTGTCAGGCGTATAGCCGAAACTGGGATTGAAGGACCGCTTTTGGCTTCCGTTGGCAACTTGATCCACCTAAGTTACCTGTACGTTTTGAGTCGACTCAAAACCTGACACATTTATAATACTCTACCGTTTCACCATGTATTCGCAACACTCCTATGTGAAATGAGACGAGAAGTTTTTTCTGAAAAAAAATAGGAACCTACTTGTTCCTTTCAGCTTCTGTTGGCAGCTTGTCCATCCTGAAACACCTATGATTGATATTAAATTGCTGGTGCGGCTCCAACTAATCCGCTCACAACTTGATCCACCTGAGATACCTGAACGTTTTGAGTCGACTTAAAACTTGATTCACCTAGAATACCTGCACGTTTTGTGTCGACTCTACCTGTACGTTTGTCACCTTGCGTTCACAATCCCATGTTATATGCAACGCTGCCTGGTAGTAGCTGTCGTCACAAGCTGATGGTATCTTCAAGCACAAAAAACGACCACGGTTGAGGGGGAGAGGCGGTTGAGAGGGAGTGTTGGCTGAGGGGGAGAGGCGGTTGAGGGGGAGAGGCGGTGGGGGGGGAGAGGCGGTCGAGGGGGATAGGCGGTCGAGGGGGAGAGGCAGTCGAGGGCTAAGTTGGTCATTTACACCTAAACCGCCCACGTACACGTAAATTACGCGTACATTTACGTGTACGTACACGTATGCGTACGTACGTCCGGCAGGTTACAATTTTTTTGGTGCGGTTTATTTTTCTCAGAAATTTCCCTAGGAAATTGTTCACTGCATTAATCGACATGGTGTTCTTGTCGGAATCCCAACCACTAGACCATTGGGATAATGGGGCTTGTTAAGTAGCGGGTCAGTGCGCCCATAACCCCCCAGGCCAACGTGCCTGTAACCCTTCCCTAGGATCAATCGGGGATCACCAGTGGACCTCTGACAGTTCTGTATCTGAGGGAAAGGGCGCGACGTGAATCGGCTTATTCAATATTGAAGAGTTACTAAGGTGTCGATGTAAAATATATACTAGGCACCTAGCTAGGTACGAAGTTAACTACGGTACTAATTATGTCAGTAAACAAGTGTGGCAGCGACTGCCGATAGGGCGGGGTTGCTGAAACGTTGCTGGCAGGGAAGTAGCAGCCTTAGTAGGCTTGGAAAACGAGGATAGAGTGCTCTCTGGAGTTCTCTGGAAATTGCACTATGACTTCACAAATTTCACAGTACAATTTTATAGAGCACATTCAAATATTGAGTCGCACTCCCAAGTCGCGACTCTCTCTGAATTTCTCAATGGTAACCCAACCCCTTTGAAATGAACCTGCCATGAAATTCAGAGAAGTATTGCGGTACGGGATTGGACGGCGAGCTTGGTTACGGGGCTGTAGTTTCGTCAGTGTTGTTGGCGAAGTCGGCGAGCGGTCGGAACTTCGGTGTTCTGCGTTTCGTAATTTTCGCGCGAGGGTTTGTGTTGGGCTGCGCGTCAGGACCTGGTCGCCAAGCTGCAGGTTGAGGCGTTTGACCAATACGAACAGTTGGTGAGGTGGCGCTTGACTTCCGCCCACCTGCACTGTACTTGGCAGCATTCGGCTGCCACACTGTTATATTACTTCCCCCTCCAAGTGGCGCCGTCCACGGCGCCAAACCGTGGCTGGTCAAATACCGATTCACAGCAGTTGCGGCACGGTCAAGGTGGCTCTCTGGTTCCCATGAGTCGTCACTAGTGGGCTGGTCCTTCCAATGAACAAGAAACTCGCGACCATGAGGTGTGTCGCGATGTGCAGCGATAGATGCAACCTCAAACAAGCCGGGGCTGCCTTCGAACATCGGTGGCAGTTGGCGTGTGGCTGGACGGTCGTGTGAAGGTGCACGGAAAGGGCGGAGGCGCTGGACATGGAAGACGGGGTGAATCTTCATATAGCTGGGCAGTTGGAGACGGTAGGTGACTGGTGAGAGGACTCGGGCGATGGTGAACGGGCCAATAAAGCGAGGGGCGAGTTTTCTGGTTGTGCCTTTGCGTAGGAGAGGTAGGTGGTCAGTGGAGAGTAACACTTGATCGCCAACCTTGAAGCGTATATATTTGCGTTGGGAGTTGGCATAGTGGGTCTGTTTGGCTTGAGCTTTAAGGATGGAGGTGCGAGCGGCATC